TTTATACATTGTTCAAAGAGCAGTAACAAAACAATCTACAATCATTAATACATTAGAAAGGGATGAAAATGACAACCAATTGGCATATGAAAGATACATAAAGTGTAAATATTCATCGTAATTCTACACAGAATAAAGCCTGAGGTTTCAGTTCTGGTGGATTGTATCGGTCTTGTTACCCGCCTGCACTGCCACTTTTGTTCCCCGCGTGAACTAATAAAGTTCTATTGTTTTGAACCGGATCCTTTTCCGCGGCCAACATGGCGGAGTACGACTTGACTACAAAAATTGCCCACTTCTTGGACAGACATCTCGTTTTCCCTTTGTTGGAATTCTTGTCTGTTAAAGAGGTAGGTATAAAGTTTGTGTTTTTGAGTTAAAGTCGTTGTACAGGAGCATTTATATCCTCTCAGAGGCGGTGTTTTATACACGTGTGCGTGGCTTGTGGATTAGCCGAGCAGATAGCATTAGCAAACTAGCCGACTAGCTAGCACGCTACAACTAGTTAACTAACCCTAGAGATCACATGGCTAACGCTAGCTATGCATACTGACATTTATCTTACTGAGTAAAATAATAATCATCACTGCGAGTTGTTAATTGCTTGTATTCTGTCAGAAGCACGAAGAGAAATGCCTTGTGCTCTAGTCACGTATTAGCATGTGTGTTTTCAGACATGTGTCTTTAATGCCTGAGTTTGGAAATGTAGTTTGATTTCCTTTTCTGATGTGTCTACAATGAGATCTACAATGAGACCGAGCTTCTTCACGGGAAACTTGATCTTCTCAGTGACACCAACATGGTGGACTTCGCCATGGACGTGTATAAGAGTCTGTATCCTGATAAAGACATCCCAAACTGTGAGTAGCTTTCCACACTCTCACAAGCCATCATGGGAGTTCCACACTCCTCTCTTACTGCGCGCCGAAGGGCTTGGAGGGCTAACGTGGGGTTTTCTCAAGCGGGAAATGGCTATGTCGAGGCTTTTTGAAAGGGAAAGCCTTTTTTGCAGGGCTCCATACAGAATCGTTAAGAATTCCACACATCATTTCCTGATCATCTCCACGATTTGGCTGCTGCGTCCACAAATCGAAGATTGTAAATGAATTCGTTGCTCATGAATTGAGATCTGCTGTCTTAGAACGCATAAGTGACATGGCGGATGATTTAGTGTCACTGCGACCAAAGACGGCGGCAGATGACGAAGATCCGGCAGTGTCAGAAAACATCAAAATCTGAGTGTAATGGCTGTTACAAAAAAAAAAAAAAACACACCAATAGGACGGTATAGGATTACACAAAACTGCCAGAACAGTTACAGACACGGTAGAGCCAATAGCAAGCATTTAACTAATTAAACTAATTAATACACTTTCATAGTAATATAATGTTAGCAGCCTACATGCCTGACCCCACGTCGTGGAAGAGCTACCAAGTCGTGCTCACTTTGACAAACAGACATCCTCATATACCGAGCCGTGAACAGCTCCTCTTCTCCACCACTTCTCCTTTTAAAACGTTTTCTCTAGACGTAACATTTCCACTAGAATCCCGAGGACTGCGCACGTGGTGCACGAACCCGGGTTGCGCTGACTGATGACGTAAGCAGAACGTAGTCATTTTCTTTGTTAGGGCTTTCCTCGGAGCATCTTCATCATATAATCTGACACGAAGGACACGTTAAACACACGGCTCGTACCGTGTGACTAGGAATAATCTTAAAAGAGCGTTTCTGAAGGGCTAGTAGTGCCCGAAGTGCCAGTTCATTTATATTCCTATTAATCTGCAAAAATAAAGTATATAACAGAGAAAAGAAACATCAGGTCCAAAGATTTGAATGTCTTAATCACCAAGTCTGCAGTGTCATTGTCTTTGACTGACAATAAACCTTGAAAATCAAAACTTGCTGTAATGGTAGAGTGTGTAAAGATGATGGTGGTGGTGGTGGTAATAATAATAATAATAATGTAGCTCAGCAGGCAAGTAAAAGCTCTAATATTCTGCATGGTCTCATGTTTCGGATGCTCGGAGTGGTAGCTAAGCTAATATCATAACCCATAGTTAAGTGCATTAATACAGACTAAAGGAAATGCACAAGTGATCAGCGTCCTCTTCTAACAAACACCGTGTTTAAAACACCAACAGATAGTCAGCCGGTTGTTGCGAACATTTCGGCTATGAGCTGCACTCTTCTGCCCTCGCATCTCACACAAAACATATCCGCGTCTGGCTCTCGGCTTCATTTTCTCTCTGTGTTTAACCCTGAGGTGACTGTAATGTGCAGCAGGAGGTTAGTGCACTTCCTTTGCCCTGACATCTCTCTTATTTATTTTTTTTCCACGTACTTGCGTGTTCCTGTGAGATTCCCAGAAAAGAACATTGTAATAAATGTATAATATCGATGTCATATAAAGTCTGAGACCACTCAGACTTTTTTTCTTAAATTGGAAATAAACAGAAATATAAATATAAATCAAAGAAAGTAACTGTTCAATATTTTGAATATTTAATATTCAAGATTCTGGGTCCCTATTTAAATGTTTAGCAAATTTGTGATATTGACCACATTAACTGCTTTGTACAGCAAGTCAGATTTTCCTCAGGTCTGATCTCGTCTACTGAAGCTTGTGATGAGGTGAAACTCTGATGGATTTGATCTAAAACGGACCGTAAGGTGGAGTCCATGCCAGCTCGAGTGCACGCTGTCATTAAAGCAAAAAGGAGACGAACCAGACACTAAGAAACTCTGAAAGTCATGATTCTACTTTTCAGGTCGTTTGTCAATGATATAATTTGTAATGAAAATTGTTGTATTAAATTGGAAAAGACTGCATTTTCACAGGAGTCTTCTGGACCCCACTGTAGTCATACTGCCATATTTCCCAGCTCTAAGTGTAACCCGGTTTATAGGTGCCTATGACGCATCGGCTGTGTCCGTAACTGCATGCTAGTGCACTAAATAGCATGTTCGTTGAGACCGTAGTGATTTGGCTGAGCTTTGTTTCCTTTGCTTTAGCGCTGAGAGAGAAGAGGGGTGCGGTTGTGGCCCAGCTGAAGCAGCTGCAGTCTGAGACGGAGCCGATTGTTAAAATGTTTGAGGATCCGGAGACCACCAGACAAATGCAGTCGACAAGGTGAGCTCTGCAAACAAACTCGCTCCCACTTGTAAAGAGACAGAGACAGCCACAACTGAGGGTTGGAGTAAGTACTGGTACTCAGAAGTGCTATAAACACCAGCGGTCGACAGAACAGTGGAAACGGCGTTGTGGCAAAGTTTCCACCATCATCCCCTGTTCCATTCGCTTGCTTTTATTCCATATCAGCTTGCCAGTGGCTTCTCAGTACATTTTTCTAGAACCCCCCCCCCCCCCCCCCCCCCCCCCCCCCCCCCCCCCCCCCCACAGTAATCAGGTTCTCCACTGGATGGATTATATCACCTGGGTGAATTTATAAAGAAAGGAAATAAAAATAAATGGAATACGTTTACAGGTTTGTGCTGGTTTTTGTTCAGGTTTTATTTAGTGTATACATTAGATTAGAGGAAAACGTGCATTTCCACCATTTCCAGATGTGGTGGATTTTTAGGTGATTTCTGCAGTAATGGCAAGTAAACACTAACAAAAATCCACAACAGCACATTTTCCCATATATTCATTTTTTTTCCTGTTTCATATCAGTTGTCTAAAGTCCACATGGCTGACATTTTCACTGTTCTGCTCTCAGAGTGGTGGCGCAGGAAAGAACAGGAGAGTGCAGATTTAAAAAAAAATAAATAAATAAAAGACAACACAAAATGTAATATTTAATCATAGACTTGACACTTTGGGGCTTCCGTGTGGTGCAACAGCAAAGCCCTGTCTCTCCTATCATCCGGAGATCACTGCTATACATTACATTATACATTTACAGCATTTGGCAGACGCCCTTATCCAGGGCAGCTTAGATTTAATCTCATTTTTACAACTGAGCAGTTGAGGGTTAAGGGCCTTGCTCAAGGGCCCAGCAGTGGCAGCTTGGCAGTGCTGGGATTTGAACTCGCGACCTTCCGATCAATAGTCCAACAGCTTAACCCCTGAGCTGCCACTGCCCTAAATCACGCCTTTGAATCCCGGTGATAGTTTTAGACAACCGTTCTATAAGCAAGAAATTAGTATCAGTGATGCGTTTTGTGTAATTTCGCTCCGCTAACGGAAACAGATCCCGCACTCGCTAGAAGCACTTCAGCTAGCTGGCTAGCTAGCTCACATTGGTTTGTACATTCCTGCTAAAGGTGCTTGCGGTGAAACTGGCTTCACGCCGTCGTCTTCATCTTC